AGTCCGCACTGCACCATCCACTTCATTGGGGATTTTGCAGTGTTTATTGCACTAAAAAGAGCAGAGGAGAAAACTGAGCATAGTTTGAGCACCAGCAGGGCAAATCCAAACTCAGGCAGAGGCGATTTGATTGTGAGGACAGGGTTGTGTTTCAAATAAATTTTAAGTCTCACCATGAAATCAATTAGTCATACTGTATTACATTTAGTTTGACGTTGTTGGTATATTCATCTGAACATTGTTAATGTCATGAATAAAAGTTTGCCTATATCCTTCCAAATGGTTTGAAAAACATAATACAACGGCAGAACCGGGGTTTAGCCTTTATAAGGCGAGAAATGCCTGTGGAGAACAGCTTCGCAGTTTCTGTTTCATTTTATTTGTATTGCTTGGGTCAAAGTTAAGTAAAATTGTTGGACAGTCAGAAGCTAACACAATGTTGGCTACTAAACTAAGTGTATGAGCTTTCTAGTAGAGATATGCTCACAGAAACAAGAAGTGGCAATGGCAACGTTGCACAAATGGTTTGTTTTCAGTGGACTGTCAACATTTCTTTTTTACTTTGAACCAAATTGACTTCCTCTTTCAATGTTTGTCTTTAGCTAGGCTCACCACAAGGCCTGACTGCAGCTCTATGCTGAAGACACAAATTGGTATAAAGGTTCCCATCTCACTCCTAAAACAAACACAATTTGTCATTTTTTCAGGATTTGACTGAATCACAAATAGCCCATGGGGGAGTTTTCATCCACTATATTGGAATAACAATGTGGATTTCATGCATTCGTATGTCACATGCAAAATTATGGACAAATACATTTTTATATGTACTTGATTTATCAGCATCAGTTAGCGTAACAATTTTATTTAAATACTTTTGGTGACATTAATTTTTCTATGAAGCAAATGGAATTGCACAAAAGTAAGCGGTTGCTCATTTTGCCATTGCCTGTTTGGATATTCTGTAAATGCAGATTAGTACAATATACTGTAAACTGTTTCTAAAACAAACAACTTTTGTTGTTAATATGTATCCAAGCTGGAGTGATGACATTAATAATTAACTTATTTTGGATCATGCCCATGAAGTAATTATTAAGCTATTAAGCTACAAACATGTTCAATAGATTTTGCTGTTCAGGGAAAACAATGGATACTTTGACATTGCATCTCAATTGAAACATCTTGTCTCCCTGTTAAATTAAAGGAGAGTAAGTGGTTTTTCTCTGTCATTTTGTTTGTTTTTGAGTCATTATTGAACCAATGGACTGAATGATCTGTTTAGTGGGTTGATTATAGGAAAATCTTCCAAGTCTTAGAATGGCTTCATACTGTAAGTGACTGTATGTGAATTTAGAATGTCAAATTCAGTGTTGATTGAAACTGATTCCTGAAACATCTTCACTACAATAATAATTTAGCATTCATAGTTTTTGGCACGATATAAGATATACTTAGTTCTTTCTTGCATGCAATAGTGCTGCAGCTTAAACCAATATGTAGCCAACAAGGCCTTACAGTGGTATGCCGATGACAAACATAAATTGTATACATCGTAATACATTCCTGTGAACTTAATAAACAAGTTTAATAATTTCTTATTGAGATGAGTTATTGATATCTGAAAAAAGCTTGAAGCAGTTTCTTTTATCTTTACTGTATGGTCTAACCCAGGGGTCCCAAACTTGCGGCCTGACCGTACCGTTCGCCTGGTCTAACTAAGACAGTTAGATCAGTAAATAATAAATCCCTGTCCCTTATTGTGAAGGACATAGATATGAAATACTGTTTGCACATTTCTGCATGTACACTGTACATTTTTATTGAATGCAACATGCAAATTTACTATAATGTTCATAAAGTAATAATAATAATGTCTTATTTTCTTCATATGCCATAGATTTAATAATATTTACACTAACTAAATTTCCATAATTCTGGGATTGATGTTTCTTTTCCATCAGAAGCCTGTATATTAAACATACATAGATGACATGGGTCAAGTTCATCTTCACCAATATTTTAAATGATCTTGACCTAAACAAAGCTTAAGAGAACAACTGCACTGCTTATCAAACCAAAAGGAATGTTGTGAATTTTGGGCTCCTTCGCTGAACAGAATGGTAATTGTCTCCAGTTAAATCTACTGGCTAACCGCAGTTCTTCTCAACTGTGTACTGACAATTCTTAATCTTCACAATAAATCTACAGGCTTACAAAGGTAAAAGACAAACCTATAAATCTGCCCAATGAAGGTCTTCAATCAAAGCAATTTTTGTCTTGTAAAGCTATTTTGTAAAAGAACAAACAAACAAAATCAAAACTATGTTAAAAGCAATACAATTACCCTACACTTTATTGTACTATATTCAGTGCAGTGATGGGATGTTGTAAAAATGCACATAGGGTTCTATGCTGTTTGATAAAAGTGTGAGATCTTTCCCGGACCGGTCTCAATAAACTTTCGCGTTTGATGCAACTTCGCCCAAAATCGAAGAAACACACTTCTCAATTGCAGATTTGCGTCCCTCTAGCGTCATCGCGTCTGTGCATAGACTTTGTATGTAAAAACTATGCACAGACGCGAAGTCAGTATCATATTGGGTGTATGTACGGTAAACCTAAGCAGCCTAACTGGGATGATCTGAAAGCCGGGTAGACTGTTTAGATGTAGACATTTTTTGACGTCAATAGGTCAAGGTTGAGGGGGAAAAACAAGTCTAAATATATCCGTTTTACAGCAGTTTATAATATTTCTGTATTTAAGGATAAACCGTTCCAGGGTCTGGGCAGGAGATGATTGATTTCTTCTCTAACAGTTTATGTTAATGTTTTCATTAAAGAAGTTCATGAAGTCATTACCACTACTGTTTATAGGAATACTCAATATTCAATACATATAATATATGTATTGAAGAGAATCCTAAGGTATTTTTTATTATGCTCAATTAATGACAGGCCTGTTTTTTTTTCAAATTGGTGAGATACCATATCCTTTTGAGTTTTGATGATTATACCCTGGAGATTATTTGTTTCTATCACAGCGCTGTCAAATAACACTCCTTCTCACTCCCTTCAGTATTTAAACTCTAGTCATTCACTCACTCACTCACTGCCAGATCGTTCTCCCCATTCATGCCAGACCTTCCAGCACTTTCGTTTGGACCGATTCACTGTTGCCAACGCTCCATGTCTTGGATTACCCCATCTCGCCGGGCCCCGGTAATTCGCCCAGCCTTCGGTCCCCGACCATGTCTTTTCCCAGTGACTCTTTAAATGGTTTGTTTGCATTGAGAAGAATAAAAGACACCAATTGGAACTACTGCTGTCTGTCGTATTGCATCTGAGTCCGTACCTCACTTGTTAGTTTCCTTTTTAGAGATAATGGAGTTGAGTATTTACAGTAACAATATTTCACTATTAACACTCTGGGAGGAACAAAAATTACAATCACTGTCCTGTCACATTTGAACAAATCTTTGAATTAAGGGTAGTAATCACTTCTTCATGAAATGTTTGAGGAAGTCAAACCTTCATGAAGGATAACCAGCTTGAATTGGACATTTTTCAAAAATGAAACTAGTGTCAACATTCATAGCGACTTTTGAATCATTTTTTTCTGACCACAGTCACCAATGTGATGTTACTAGATGTTACTGGTTACTGTTAAGGTAAAGAACTCCATCACCCAGCATTCCCTAGTCAATGGTGAAGGACATGCTCAGAGCCGGAGCGCAGCAGACCCCGGGTAGCATTACAGCGGACTGTGCTAGTTGACATTAAAAGTTCATGAAACGTATATCACGCCTCGTCTGCTTCTTATAAGATACAACAACCAACTGATAAAAAAAAATATTTTCCCCACAGAATGCTGCCTCCCCCTGCTGGCAAGAGCTACAAATTAGTTTCAGTCATAAGAAAGGGATGTGTCTCCATATTTTCTGTGGAGAAAAAAAAGTTCCCTTAAATATCTTTTCATTTCTGTCTGTATTAATCAGTTTTGAGGTATGTAAGTGTTGGACAAAACAATGTAATTTTGTTTATTTTGTCCCTGGCTACTTCTGGTGACCTGTTTCCTTATTTTCTGAATGTTTATAAGCCAAACAATAAAATAATTGATTGATCAGGAAAAAAAATAACAATAAAATGTCTACATTCAGGGGGAATTGTGTTTAGAGTAATTAGAGTATTAGTTTTTTTTGCAATAGTGGACTGCAGAAAGCATTACATAATTTATTAATTTGCAGTACTACAATACTGTAATGAGAAATGTGTTACCTTACATACGTTGAAAATACTTGACATTGGTTTAGCCAAAAGAGACCACAATCTAATCAAAGATGATGCCTTTATGCACCTAGGCCCTTTCGTTGCTAAAGATTCATTAATTGAATGATTGTACAACTTCTGTTTGCCCATATGAGAAATTAGAGAGAATTCCACTTTTTAAATGGCATTTTTGTGTTTTTGATGAAATCATGAAATGACCCTCTATATGTAAGATAGAAGGAGTACTGCACTGGCAGTGGTGGTAGTTATAGTGGAAATAATGTTCCATAGTTGTAATTTAATCTGGTAGTAGTGCTAACGGTTGAAAAATATGGAGAGGAAATGGTCGCTTTAGGACCAGCAACATTAATGAAATTGTGAGAAATGGGCAACAGTGGTGAAGATTGCAATGCTGAAGCAGCAGTAACATAGTCCGTATTACTCGTGTGGTAGAAACACATACAGACACACTGCTTAAAGGAGGTAGCCTATCTTAATATTTGTTACTAATACGGTTATCAATACAAATAGCATCTGATATTTTCCCAGCAGCAGCAGTGTGGAGACTGTAGTAGCAGTAGTAGCAATCTGAGTAACGGAAGGACTGCGATGAAAATGGTAAGGATAAATCTAACAGTCTAGTAGTCAGATGTACACTGTCGTACAAATATATGTTCGCTCCATGATCCGTGTTTCCTCGCAATAGTCTAACGTTACATCCGTTCTCATGCGCATGCGCGTCTGGCTCTTCGCGGTTGCGCCAACTGGTAGAGGATGTTGCTAGCAGCTTCTGTAGATGCACAAGCTTTCAAACAACAATAACATAAACCAAATTTGCATCTCTACTAACCCGGATTTGAGGAGTATACGTAAGGAACGCTATCAGAAACTGTGCATTGGACCGCGTCACGCCGAATATCCTTCAGTTCTTTCGGCTTTGTTGACAATGGATGCGCAGAGGTTTGCAGATCTACAAGGCTACTTTTTGCAGGAGCAGAAGCAAGAATCATGGCTGGCCAGCTAGGCCGCAGATGGATTTTGTAGCTAACAGCAACAATCTGTTGGCATAAAATACTGTGTGTAGGCTTGGCGAAGCTCAAGCAAAGTGGTGTTGAGAAGTCCGTGTGTCAATTGTACGCTTGTCGTTTATTTTTTGGACCACAACACAAGCTAATGAGACCGTTAGCTTCACAACCTTGACTGCTTTGCGTGTTGCCTTTTGGGTTAGCTCCTTTAGCCAGCTAACGATAGCTCGCATCGCTTGGCTAACCACCTCTGGTTACAAACATTTGATCAAAGACATTTAATACGGGATTTATCCTAATCGGTTTTTCTAGGGAAGGTATTTGTATTGCAAATTCCTTTAGCAACGTCTTCACCTGGATGAATGTGGGACAAAATGGAGACCCCGACGATTGTGTACGATTTGGATACCTCCGGGGGCTTAATGGAGGTGAGGTCGCTTTCCTCGAAAGCCTCAATGAATTGAATTTCTCCCTTTTTGTTGATGCTTTGATGTATTTTCTGATTATATCAATTGTCGTTATCATTATACCCATAAAGCCCGCTGTCAAGCAGCTCTTGTCTAGCGAACTTAATAAATCGGGTTGATAATGGAGGCCTCAAATAAGCGTAACGGTAGCGCTCTCCCCTCTTAGCGTTTCGCGACACATAGCTGCTATATAGCTGCAGGTTTTTACAACAAGTTTGACGTGCAATCATTAGGGAGCTGTGATCTTTTACTAAAGAATGACAACTTTTACAGCAAATCCAAACACTGCTCGCGCCCCCGAAGTCAGAGGAGATAGAGAAGAGGAGTCGGAAGTTGGTGAGAGACGTCAGGAGGAGCGGCAGGGCCACCAACCACGACACCTGCGACAGTTGTCGGGAGGGGGGAGACTTGCTGTGCTGTGATCACTGTCCTGCAGCATTCCACCTCCAATGCTGGTGAGTGAGATATATTTGAACAAAGAAGTCACAACGCAAAGGAATATGTCAGGCAGCAGATGGACTACCTTGGAGTCTTTGCTAACGGCTAACAGTTAGTTGCTTGCTACCGCTCAATGCTGAGTGCCAACTTCCGTGGACGTTTCCCTCATGAAGTTTTATGTCCCACAGTCGTGGTCATGTGCATGTCACAGTGAACACGTGAATCGCTTTCTCGCCCTATAGATATTTACCTCTCGTTGTTCAGTTAATACACATCCGCTGTTATTGCATTGACCGTGGGTCCCATATCACTGAAGCCTCCCTCCGTGCGACTGAGCCGAGGAGGGCGGTAGCGAGCCCCAAAATAGCCTTTTGTAAAGATGCATTTTTAAATTCAATCTACTGCCTAGAATCTGCAATCACTCGAACCCCGAATTGCTCAGCACTCGCACATAAATTCAAACCTAATCTATAGGTGACATTTGTGGTAAACCTAAAGGCGAGTGCATCAACTCGAGGTTGAATGAATCTAATTCGATCCATGTCGGTAGCTACCGTTAACCGTTCTCATTCTTGGGGAAAACGTGTACCGCTTGATATGATTGCTCCTATCAGCAGAGAACCATTCCAGTCCTTGACGTCAATGAAACAAAATGTTTAAGACGCAAATGTTACAGATTCCTGAAGTTACATAGGTTAAAGACCGAAGGGGATAGAATTAGCTTGTAGTCCTCCGCTGCGGCCGCGGCCAGTGGAGCCGATGCTGCTAAAAATGGAGTCTGTTTACAATATGGCGACCTCCCTGTTTTTTTCTATTTCACCGCCATTTTACCAACCTTTAAATCCATCTTTTGAGAAAGGGGTTTACTATTGATACAGACTAATCTCTGTCGTTTTGAAATATGGCGCACTGCGATATGCTTGTTGGCTTTAGTAGTATCATCGGGGCACGTCTCCGTTGCCGCCTCGTGTCTCCCCGTCAAACATCTGCAGGCTTTATTATAATAACTTGTCAATTTGGAAGAGTTTAGCTCTGTCACTTGAAAGCGAACAGACCGATATTATCCATATATGGTCATTAAGTACTTCATCTTCACAATTTTGAATTTTGTGATATCCCAGCAAAGAGGGTAGATACGGGCTGCTTTAATGTTCATTTTGTGAGATGTAGAATGTACATACGGTAACTTGATACGTTTATGATTTGGACATTTTGGGCTGTAGATCATAGACTTGGCTTCCGATGTGTTCTACCTGTTATAAATCAGTCATGACATTGACCGTGTTGATTTATAGTTATTCTTTCAGTAATTAGGCACAGGGCTTTTCGAAAAACATTTTATTAAATTACTTTAATACGAATATTTAGTCATGTAGATGAATTCATCTTCCAGCTTTTTTAAATAAAAACATGAAGAAAATCAAAAATCGAGCATTGACATGTAATCTTTGAATAAATGCAATTGTCAGTTCACTAGATGTAACACTGTTACGTAGGAGAACTCTGCAGAGATATGCTTGTGACCACCTTTTAGATGAGGTTAGACAACATAATTGTGAAGCATAGTATCATGGCTGTGATCATGTACATTCCAGTGTTTCCCCTACCTGAATTACGAACAATGATATCCTAAATAAATTAAACAAATAATTGCAAGGGACACGGAGCGGGGCAAAGCATCGGGCTTGGTACGATGCGGTAGGGTTCAAGAAAATGTGTTCACCGGAAAGGCGCTCTGCACCATCTAGGGAGGTTGGCCTGGTGAGCTTCAACCGCTAGCAGGGCGATGTGCTCTGTGGTATGGCAACGCGATTTGTGACCGTTCTGCTGGGAGAGACGGGCCGGCCCGGGAGGAACACAGGGCCCTCCCCACCGAAGAGGCGGACCCACAGTCCGGAGGAACCAACCTTAGTTCAGGTCGAAAGTTAGTTGTGTTGTCTTTTTTGGACACACCGACTCGTTCACGTCCATTCGCTCTCTCATTCAGCTTCAAGCCAAAATGTTCCCACACCGGAGCTGTAGATTGCGGTTTCAAAACCAATTCCATTTGGACTTATTAATCCTTATTGGCTAGGCTTTAGACGTCACGAAAAAGAACACTTCATAACACAGTGGGTTCGCGCATTCCCTTCATCTGTGGGTGTGTGGAGACTAAGCCCCGCTTCCGGTTTCGACAAAGAAAACAGACAAGAGGACAGAGGCAGCGCGATTGACTAAAATGTTTGTGACATTCATTTATATGTAAAATAAATAAAATGTATAGCAGCACCAAAAAAGATCACGCTCATTTTCACATATATCAATTATAGCGACAGACCTAGTAGGCCAGTACAATACTGTATTCATTTTCCTGCATTTGTTATCAACGTGATTTACCTTGTTACCTCAGCAATCCACCTCTCAGTGAAGAAATGCTTCCACCAGGGGAATGGATGTGTCATCGCTGCAATGTTCGAAAAAAGGTAAGTGACAACTCTTCTGTCACTCTGTTACACACATACCCCCGTCCAAGTTTACTGTCATGCCACTGGAAAAGTGTAGAGAAACGTATTTTCTTGTATGCTATACTAACTGATAAAACTGTCTTTTGGTCTTATGTTGCCATCAGAAGAGAGAGCAGAAAACTGATCAGACCAACGGCCTTCCTGAGAAGTCATCATCAAAGCGCTCCGTGTCCCCGGCCATAGAGCTTGAGCTCAACGCCGGACCCCTGCGGCTAGACGGCCTTCCCCCGGGGGCCGGAGCAGCAGGGCCCGGTCTACGAGTAGCCCAGGTACGCCTCTTGGACCGCAGGACCAGCAGCAGGCCGAGCAGCCGGCCTGGAACGCCAACCTCCAACACCTCGTCCACGCCAACCCCTTCAGAGGATCAGAACGACGGAGAGGAGGAAGCAGCAGAGCCCGAGGATGAAGTTCAGGGCTCAGAGCTTGAGGGCACAATGCTATCCGCTCCGACTCCACGCCTCCTTAAGAGGCCTTTTCAACTGCTAATAGCAGCCGCTATGGAGCGAAACCCTACGCAGTTCCAGTTGCCCAGTGAGCTCACCTGCACCACTGCACTACCAGGTCAGTTCATTCCTAATGATTTCTGATGCATTTACTGTCAATGTTATTATACTGTCAATGTTATGTTATTGTAAATATAATATGGTGATGGGGGAAAAATCCCCACTAAACTGCTGAACTGGAACAATTCTTTCAAAATTAATTTGTAACACACTTTTCACACCCTATACTACTTGTTGTTACAGCCTACATGCGCAAAGTCTGCAACTTCTGTCAGAGAAACAGATTTTACGAGGCTTGCTACAAAAATTATCTTGTTTTCATGACACCTGAGACAGAGAGAGTGTGTGTGTGTGTGTGTGTGTGTGTGTGTGTGTGTGTGTGTGTGTGTAAGAGAGAGGCGCGTGAGTGACGGAGGGAGCAGGGAAAGAAAATGGAGCTGAACGAATACGCTGCAAGATTTAAATAGCGTTAAAAAAATGCACCAGATGCAATGTGGGGCGACTGTGGATGAGTGGAGAGCAACTAACCCGCATGTCGATGTGTCCTTGGGCAACACACTTAATCCAACATTGCTCCTGTAGCTGCGACTACAGTGTTCCAATGTTAGTTACTGATGGGCAGGTGTCACTGTGTATGCTTCTCCTGTCATCAGTGTATGAATGGGTGTGAATGGGTGAATGATGTCATGTAGCGTCGTGGCGCAGGGCTTAGAGAAGGTGTGCTGGGAAGCACAAGGTTGATTCCAGGCTGCCCCATGTTCCATGTCGAAGTGTCCCTGAGCAAGACACCTAACCCCTAATTGCTCCCTGGGCAAAATGTGAAAAAGCCATGGGTTTAAAGTGTAATGTAAGTCGCTTTGGATAAAAGCGCCTGCTAAATGACCTGTAATGTAATGTAATGGTCGGAAGACTAGAAAAGCGCTATACAAGTACAGTCCATTTACCATTTACAATGTGTGGCGGCCAGTGTTGAATCTGCCTATGTGTGGGAAACACAAGTTTTTGAGGAATAAAACCGCACTGTATCGAGAATCTAAGTCTGTTATTAATTACATCATAACCCCAATAATTGAATCGTAAAATGCCGAAGGATTCCCACACAGACTCCCTTTGTAAGAACAAAGTAATTATAAATAGTACTGGGTAAATTAAGCACTTCAAATACGTGATGGCATGAATATAACTGAGTTGGATTGTTTGGATTTCTAGGAAGCAGTAAACGGAGGAGAAAAGAGGAGCTCTTAGGAAAGCCGTTCAGGAGGCCACAGCATGAGCTGGATCCCAATGGTCTCGTCCCACTACCAGTCAAAGTCTGCTTTTCATGCAACAGGTTAGAACAACGTTCAATTATTTGCATCATTTTATGCATCCATTGCACAGACCTGAAATGGCTGATGTCTTGTATTTCCCTTTGACAGGAGTTGCAGGTTGGCTCCACTGATCCAGTGTGACTACTGTCCTCTGCTGTTCCACATGGACTGTCTGAACCCTCCGCTCACAGCTTTACCTGCTGGCAAATGGATGTGTCCAAACCATATTGAACATTTAGTGGTAAGACCCATGCTCTTGGCTAAAATGTTAAACAGCTTTTTGGTCATTTCCCTTTTCTAATATTTGTCTGATATGCAGCTGAATCAGAGAAGCCTGAGCCTGTCCAGTCGCTGTCAGCTGTTTGACCATTTCCAGGACAGGATGTCCCAGCACGCAGTCAAGTTGGACTTCCTGCGTAGAGTCCATCGGCAGAACGCACCCAATCGGCGCACAATCCACCACCTCAATAAGAAGACCATCAAGGTAGCATGGCTGGTTCAGTGGGAGGGTTTGGACACCCTGGTGGTGGACGGTTGTTGTGGCGGCTTTTGGTTTTTCTCCGAGGGTTAGGGTATGCTGTTGAGGGGCATCCCGAAGAGTTTGTGCCTGATTGATGCAATTACTGATTGTTGTTGTCTTCTAAAACTGATTATGTTAAATGCTTTATGCTGACCAAACAAACAATGGAACAGGCAACTCTGAAAATAACACTGCAAAAAATAGTTTCTTCAAAAGAATTCTATCACAGTACCAAGAGTATTCAAACCCAATTCCTGTGGAAGGTACCCTGTTCCCTCAAAGACTTAACAAATGCAGGAAATGTTTGGTTGAAACAAATATGTTAAATATACTTCCCACAATCACTGTTTGTGACTCAGGTGCCAGATGCCATCAAGTCCCAGTACCAGAATCCTCCCCTCATGCTAACTCCAGCGGGGGTGCGCCAGTTGGAGCTGGTCTGTAGCGGTGTGCCTGACCACCAGCCTTCAAAGCATCCCACGTCAGAGGCTGAGCAGCAGGAGGTAGGCAGGCTGCAACATGACACAGTTTGCCGAATAACAGTTGTCATTTGTAATCGTTCTAACAAGAGTGCATCTTGCACGCTCTGTCTAAATAATGTTCTGTGTTAACAGTGGCTTCAGGACGTCATCGCCCTCCAGTGCAGCATTATGCGACACCTATCCATCAAACAGAAGGCTGTATCCTCAATGACTGCCCTGTCATCCGCAACGGCATCAGAGGACCGGGGTTCTGAGAAGAAAACCACTGCTAAATCATGCATAACATCTGAGGGGATGAAAACATTTTTTGAAAGGACTTCTTCCCTGGACCTTTGCTCTGAACCGTGCAGTACACCCAATGACCCTCAGGGGGGCCCTCTTTCAAGGGACATGCTTTCAGAGCTGGGTGTCTGTAAGTGCAACACACCTCCATGTCAAAACTGTAGGAAATCCAACGGACCTCTAGCAGAGGAGTGTCAGCCCCCCAAAGCCAACGGACCTGTCGACTGTAATCGTGCCTCAGACTCTTGCAGGCAGGCTGAGCTGCAGCACCGCCTGAAGCCCACAACAATACCCCCAGTCTCAGCTCTTGCCTCTGGGCTAGTGAACCACATTGCAGCAGAAACTGTTAAAAAGGAGCCTGAGAGTTCTGCAGTTGCCGGTACTCAGCAAAACTGTCCCAATGCCCTGACAATTTGGCCCCATAGCGACAAGCAGAACCACAGCAGCCAGGCGGAGCTCCAGAGGGAGTTTATCAATGAAAACCCCACCTACTCCATCACCAGCAGTGCCCGCTCAGGCCCAGTGACTAAAGGAAACCAGCAGCTCGACCCAACCAAGCTGGGATCAGCATCGCCCACTCCAGGTACACACCGCTGATCTAACAAACTGCTCACTATAGGCTTCTCGTGTTCATTTGAGGTTCTGCAGGGATTATTGCAAAAGTAAGCCTATATACTAGCCCAGCGGTTTCCAAACTCAAGAATGCCGTGGCCCAATTTGAAATCTGAAAATCTTTCGCGGCCCACCCAAACCTTTAATCACAACTCTTATCAAAACATAATGATTAAATGACCTTAAGAATTTAACCAAAATCAAACATCCGCAAACAAAAGTCCGTCTCGCGCGAGCAAAAGTTTGTCTCCGCAAGGTATTTGCTCGCTTGCGAAACGTGAACTTTGTTGCTCGCGAGGAGAATCTCTGCTCGCGCTTGAAGGAGTTTTCTACGCGCTCGCTGTTGTTCTTTCTGACAGTAAGGTGGAGACGGTGCTTTCAGGGTCCGATCGATGCTGCGAGGTGCGTCGGCTCCCCTCGCCATCCACGCCTTAAATCTTCGGCTGCTTTTAGAATAACTTTTTTTTAGAATTATTTTCCCGGTTAAGATGGTTCAGCTACTGTAGAGAAAAGGGCACCGTCTCTCGCTCTTTAATCTCATGAAGTGCTCCGCGAGAACGACAGCTTTGTTTCTCCGACGCGCCCTGAAACAAGCTCCATATCTCACGCGCTTGAGTGCCGCTCAGCATCTCGCCGTCAAAGACCGAGCTTTGTCATGTTTGGCAGAGCGCCTTGAGCGCTGTGTACAACCAGTATGGATTAACCAATATATAAAAGGCGCTCCGAATTATAAGGCACTGTCGTTTTTTGAGAAAATTAAAGCCTTTTAAGTGCGCCTTGGAGTGCGGAAAATGCGGTATATTTACTTTACTACTACAAGAGGGCGCCTCGTTTGTTGAACAACGACAGGTGGACAAGAGCAGCCGTTTCGAGCGAGAGCCTTTTTGTTTTATTAATCTGTCCGTTTAAATTGTTTGTGCTTCATCAACTAATGTTTCACATAACTAATGTGCCGCATCATAAATATTTTTATATTAATTTCAAACTTTAAAAAAATTAAAATGAAAAAACAATTTATTGTAAATGACCTCTCGCGGCCCACCTGCAGTACCTATGGGCAATATTTGGTCTGCTAAATGAAAATGGGAACAAAATAACTCTTGTATTCTGTCTTTGGTGTTTAGAATGGGAATTTTACATTCACTCAAGGTGAACCTTTTTTTTTTTTCTATAAATACTTTGCATTTCAATAAGTTGCAGATGTTTTTTGTAGAAGATTATGGCCTATATAACTGGGAACTGTGCAGTTTACCTCTGTACACAACACCTAGTGGCAGCTCCACTCCCAAATCCCAGAAAACCCTAGATGTAGAGCCGCAGGATGTGTGGGAAACATGGAGTGAAAAAATGAATTCCAAACGAGTATGCTTGTGATTACATGAAATAAGTCAAGAACAGATTTCCCTGTACTGTGATAATCTTCATTCTTGCGTTGGTCATATAACTTGTTTGTTTGTTATATTATTTGGAATAGTTTGCAAAGATGGAACAGTCATAGTTCTCATAATTACTGTCAGCATCTTCTTAGGATGTTGCTACCTCTTTTGATTTCTCTTTTCTCTGTCAATGGTTTAAGCTTGAGGTCATATTTGTGTGTTGGAAAGGTAAAGTTCAGGTCTGCCTAGAGCAGAATGTGTCAGTTTTAAGTTCTTCAAAATACTCCATGCATGTAAAGTCTTTTAAATGCAACATTCTTATTTTGTAGAGGCCTGTTGCATATAGACTGTGGTCCTTTTCTGTAGCCGGTTTGGCGTGTTAAAGCATTTCCACGCTACACTACCCCTCGCTTTCGCTGAAATACTTTATAGTGTAATATTGCTCAACAACTCCCTCTTGTTAGTGGCTAACATTTCCCAGTTATTTCATGTGTCAGCAGCATATCAGTTATTTGACCAACAGTGGGAGAGGAGAAAACTAATGGAACTGAATGTGCTGCAGTTGAGTTTAGTAGTATGACTATTTTTTTCCTTTTGTACACACATATTTAAATAGCATGATCAGTCACAGTTCTTTGACAATGAGCCCCCCCCTCAGCATGTTTTTCATTTACAGACCTAAAAGCTGGTGCTGAATTAGTAGGCTCACTGCTTCCCAGTGCTCTCTCCTCCATGGCCAACCTGTCCAGCTGGACATCCCTGGAGGATCCAAAAGATGACGAAAGAGGTAAGTGTTCTCCCTCAATAGGAACATGTGACCACACAGAGCTAGTGGGTTTTTTGTATGCATGTCATGCTGTGATGAATCAAAGTAACTAATGGTCCTGGTTAGGGATTGAGCTGGACAAACTGGATGCAGAGATGATCAAGCTCCTGGCCTGGCAGAGGATCCAACAGCTTTTCCCCCCCAAAGGGTCCACCACTCCGCCTCCCCCGGCCACCAGCGTTTCCCCCAAAAACACATCACCCTGCCCTGACAGTAAGGCACTGACTTACCACTGCTGACACTGCTATTCGGTTTTATTCACCATCTCATTTTCTGACTGGGCCTAGGTCCAAATATGGGTTGCAGTGGATGTTAGGCTGGCAAATTATTTGAGAATTAAAGATCTATATCGGCAGTACACCTTTTTTAGTCTGACTGCTCATATTTTGATAACTGCAGCATGTAGCTTTAAGGATGATTATACATTTTGCAATTATAATATAGCTCCTAACCTCTATTCAATTAATTAGGGTCCTCGCTACGACTAGTTGTAGAGGAACCTATTGTATTTTAATGAATTGTTCTTTTCTCTAAGGAATTTTCCCTTTTTGAGGCCTTTTATCATATTCAAAAAGTTGTTAAATTTGGCATGCATATCAGAACTGGTGAAAAATGTGATAATTTTAGGGTCTCTCATTTGGGTATAAAGAAATGTCTCCATAGAAATTTGAAAAGTACCAAACTAGGCTAGTTTTTTCCCCCGATGCACGATTGACAATTGGCACACATGTGCTCACAAAAAAGTCAATCATGGTATGCAAATACACCTAACTAGATTTTCCGCGATTTTGAATTTTGTGAAAAACACGATATCGCCCATTTCTCCTAAACGCCAGGTCCAATTGTCTGAAATTTTTTTCTGTGGATCATTATTGGGTTAATGTCCGTCCAAAGATTGTGTTGATATCGCATTGTTTTGAGAAGATATTGCCTAATGAACTTCGCAAGGGGTGTGGCTTAATCTTGCATGACTCATAACTTCGAAAATGATTTGGCCTGCCCTCACCAAACTTGTAACACATGTGGACATTGAACCCCTGAACACAACCTAATTTTTTGAGAATATTTGAATAGGGGGCGCTGCAATTAATCGTTGAAAATATGCCCTTTTGGCCTATTTTGAGAGTTTTTGCCGGAAGAAATTCCAAACTATGTGCGTAGGGAGCATTTTCAAAATCCACCATTCAGCATGAAAATTGAAGTTGTTTTAACTCAACCATACTTTATCTAATCTGCTCCATATTTCTCATATAGCATGAACTTCTCACCCTGTAGACATCCATATGATCATTTTTAACCTTAGTCATTGCGCCACCTGGTGACAACAGGAAGATGAATGTTTTTTTGTTTTTTTTACACCCTGCTCCTCATAGGTTATGCTCCTCAAAGGTTAATCTGATCCCTCTCATAATTTCTTAGCAGAGAGGTAAGACCTTGATAATGCTTCACTGTGATTATTATAAGAATCCAATAATTGGTGGCGAGAAGGTGCATTGACAAAGTTGATCCTTCGCCAAGAACAACTAAACCTAAAGAACAAAAAAAAGAACATCTACTCCACATTGTCGGATTCTTTCCAATTTACACATGTTTGATGAGACTCAGGGCCTGAAGATATGTAAAGCTGAATCAAGTCATAGTGCCACCTACTGGTAACAGGAAGTCCAATTTTCTAGTATCCAGTAAAAAACGAAGGTGGCATTTCGAGATTCATTTGAAAAAAGGGACATCAGAATGTCCTGGTTATCACCGGGTGACACCTTGGGGATGTGTACTCTCTGCCTGAAGTGGAAATACTGTGTAACTATTAGTTGTTTCCTTTTAAATCTAATCTGAAATTGACCAGATGTAGTCTTGTGACTGATATTTTGGCTCATGTATATTATTTTGGAGAGGTTTTAATTTTGGAATGGTACATCAGAATGTCCTGTTTATCCCTGAGTAACACCCTGGAGATGTGTACTCTCTGCCTTAAGTGGAATTACTGTGTAACTATTGATTTTTTTCCTTTTTAAATCTAAAATGAAATTGACCAGATGTAGTCTTGTGATTGATATATTGATATATTTTCAGAGGCTTTCATCTTGGAATAGTACATCAGAACGTCCTGCTCATCCCTTGGTGACACCTTTGGTAATGTGTACTATCCGTTTAAAGTGAAATGATCACGTAACTATTGATAGTTTCCTTTTTAAATACCATCTGAAATTGATTAGAGGGTTGGTGAATGAGATTTAAGAGAACGTTTGGTAATGTATGACATTTCGCGTCGCTCCACGCGGATAACGACGACTGACTCTTGGACATTCTGTCTGACGGCTGCAGGATTTCTTGGCTGCTTTTCTACCCGTCCGGCCATTCCCCCAACATGCTAAGTAGCGAGGAACCGTCCAAAGCTGCTTGCAGCTTTAATTTAATTTCTTATTGTCTCTGAGAGCTTTACAGTCTGTAGATATGAGACATCCTCTGTCCAGAAACCCTCACACTGGCACAGGGAAAAACTACGCCATAAGGGATAGATAAGGGAGATGTACCAATTTGTAGAGAGATCTTGTTGCAAGATCTCCAGAACTTTGGTTTTTGAATCATCATTTTTTAATCATTTTGTGCATATCTACAAGGCCATCAGGCGACCTGAAATCGGGCTAAGTATCTTTTCTTTAAACCAAGCTAGTCTGCTAAATTTGTTGTTGATTCTAGTGTTTTAAATTAATTTGATTGCTGATTTGAGTTCTCTCTGTTTGAAGTTATTTTGGTTGCTAGTTTGCTTAAGCGCTGTCCGTTTTTTAGTGCCAGTTGTTGTTATAGACTATTAAGTTAACTGCTAGCGGGCCCTCTTAACTTTGCTAGGTTTGACCTGATCTGAGTCTGTTTTGCCTTCTCTTCTGAAGCAGAAAAGACTTTAATCCTTAAATTCTCAGTTTATCAAAACACCACATGGTGATAGTTCACTGATTAGGGTGTCAAGTGATTGGTGTTCTGCATTTTGAGGAGTTTCTGCCGAGGCCAATCGACCTTTTGTCTCCTAAACGACGGGGAGTGGTCAGCGCAGGGATAGCAGACCTCCACTAACGAGGGAGTACTTAACTAGAGGTTGAGTGAAGCGTTTGCATAACCTCGCAGCACGAAGACGAGCAGAACAAAGACAAGGGAGTCTTTTGTGGAGTCTTCAGGGCAGCTGAATGCGGCACCTTCTTCTGCTATATTTAATAATGTGTTTGACCCCTTTACCTGTACCTGTTCGAATCTCTTTCCCGCAGATACTACAGGCCTCGGGCTAGATCTGCTCTCTATCGTAACCTCCTCTCTCACCTATCCCACCCGCTCCACACATGTCCAGCACCTCGTCACAGGAGGCCTCTGGAACTGCCAGTCAGCTACTCGCAAGGCAGACTTCATCTCCGGCTTCGCTATCGAGCAGTCGCTTGACTTCCTCGCTCTCACCGAGACCTGGATCACACCTGAGAACACATCTACCCCAGCCGCTCTCTCCTCCGCCTTCTCCTTCAGCCACACAGCCAGGTCCACTGGTAGGGTTGGTGGCACAGGTTTACTCATTTCACCCAAATGGAGCTTTTCTCTCTACCCTCTTCCACCGTCCACCCCACATTCTTTCGGATTCCATGCTGTAACAGTTACTCACCCAGTACGACTACATATAGTTGCCTCTTACACCTACTTTCTTCCTTCGCTCTGTCACTCAGTCGCTCTCCTCCTACTCACAAAGCCTTGACTCACCTTGACTACATCTTCACCAGAAACTGCTCTACCACTAACCTCTCTGTAACTCCACTTCATGTGTCTGACCATTTCTTCATCTCTTACTCTCTCCCACTCTCTATAACTAACGACCCTGCCCCATTGACTGACTCTGTACCTGTTTGTCGCAATATTCGCTCTCTCTCTCTCTCTCTCCTCCCTGGCATCCTCTGTTCTATCAGCTCTCCCTTCAACCTGACTCCTTCTCACTCTTGGATCCGAAGGCTGCTGCAGAGACTCTTCTCTCAACTCTTTCCTCTCTAGACTCTCTCTGCCCTCTTACTGGCAAATCCCCTCCGGCTCCATGGCTGTCTCAACCGGTGCGTGCCATGAGAGCCACCATGCGAGCTCTGGAAAGGAGATGGCGTAAATGTAAACAACCTGATGACCTGCTTGAGTTTCAATCTCTTCTCTCCTCTTTTTCCACTTCTATCTCTGCTGCCAAAAGCTCTTTCTACCAATCCAGAATTGAATCTTCATTTTCTAACCCCAAAAAACATTTCGATCTCTCCAACCTCCTTGAATCCCCGAGTCCTCCTCCCGCCTTCTTCCTCTATCGCCCTCACTTTCCTCTTTCACCCCCCGTCTCCTAACCAAATTCTTACCCTAGTAACCTCTGCCCGTCTGACCACCTGCCCTCTTGACCCCATTCCATCACATCTTCTACAATCTATTGCTCCTGACCTTCTTCCTTTCCTCACCTGTCTCATCAACAATGCTCTGTTATCTGGCTGTTTTTCCAATTATCTGAAGGAGTTAACCCTCTCCTGAAGAAACCTACCCTCAACCCCTTCTGAAGAACACAACTACAGACCTGTCTCTCTTCTTCCCTTTTTGTCCAAAACGTGCGATCTTTAACCAACTCTCCTCCTATCTCCACCATAACAACCTCCTTGACAGTCAAGCTTCAAGGCAGGCCATTCCACAGAGACTGCTCTCCTTGCTGTCTCAGAGCAACTCCACACTGCTAGAGCCGCCTCTCTGTCCTCATTCTTCTGGACCTCTCCGCTGCATTTGACATAGTCAACCACCAGATCCTTATTTCCTCCCTTCAGGAATTTGGTGTCTCAGGCTCTGCTCTCGTCCTACCTCGACCGCCGCACGTACTGGGTAACCTGGCGAGGATCTGTGTTGGAACCTTGTCCTCTTACTACTGGAGTTCCTCAGGGTTCCGTCCTGGGTCCCCTCCTCTTCTTGCTCTACACCAACTCTCTCGGCGCTGTCATTCGCTCGCATGGCTTCTCCTATCACAGCTATGCCGATGACACCCAACTAATTCTCTCCTTCCCTCACACCCAAGTGACTGCACGGATCTCTGCCTGTCTGACTGACCTGTCTCAGTGGATGTCCACCCACCATCTGAAAATCAACCCCGACAAGACTGAACTACTTCTCTTTCCGGGAAAAGATTCTCTGACCCAGGACTTGACGGTCAACTTTGGCAACTCCGTGCTAACGCCCACTTTAACCGTCAGGAACCTCGGCGTCACACTCGACAGCCAACTTTCCTTGACTCCCAACATCACTGCGACAACACGATCCTGTAGATACACGCTCTACAACATCAGGAGAATATGTCCCCTTCTCACTCAGAAGGCAGCGCAGCGCATTCAGGCTCTTGTCATCTCCCGCCTGGACTACTGCAACTCCCTCCTGGCAGGTCTCCCCGTTACCACCATTCGATCTCTGCAGCTCATCCAGAATGCAGCAGCTCGACTGGTCTTTAACCTTCCGAAATTCCCCCACACTACTCCACTCCTCCGCTCTCTTCACTGGCTACCAGTGGCTGCCCGCATTCAGTGCAAAACATAAGTGCTCACGTACCATGCTGTGAAAGGATCGAGTCCAGCTTCCATCCAGGACATGGTCAAACCCTACATCCCGACCCGCACTTTCCGCTCTGCATCCGCAAAACTTCTTGTCCCTCCCTCACTGAGAGCAAAACACTCGACTAGACCACGACTTTGCTGTCCTTGCTTCGAAATGGTGGAACGAGCTCTCTGAAGACACCAGGACCGCAGAGAGCATTCGCATTTTCCGCCGCAAACTAAAGACACACCTCTTTAGACTCTACCTTGACTAAAAAAAGACTAACAAATTGAAGCGCTTAAATTGTACTTTTAATGGCACTTATCTATAGAAAAGTGTAACTTTGCTTATTTGATGAAATCACACTTTCTTGTTTCTTGATCTTCTGAGTTTGTATCCCTATGGTTGAATGCACTTATTGTAAGTCGCTTTGGATAAAAGCGTCAGCTAAATGACATGTAATGTAATAACTGTGCCATTTGCATATTGTCATGTACCAAACTATTTATTCCACTTTTATATCATTAATAGTGTTCACAGGGTAGGGAATTTACATATATTCGGGGCAATTTTTGCCCCCACTGACCAGGGGCATTTTATAAGAAATTGGGGGCATTTTTTGAAACTTGTGAAATAACATTTAACCGTTGTTAAAAATAATAAATATACTTATTTGGGCTTCCTGTATATGCACCTGTCATCAAATGGCAGTAATAAGGCAGTAGTGTTTCTCAGATTTTTTTTTATCCAAAAAGAACAATATAAATCAATCAAGACAATTTTTTATTTTTTTTGATTAGTAGTTTCTAGCGTTGAGCAATATGTGAAGCAATATCAACCAGCTTGATCATTCTGCAGAACGCTGTCTTTGCATCCGATTCACAGGTTCCACAGCTGGCTTTCTGTTATGGAGCAGATTCTTTAAAAATAACACATTTAAACCTTGAACCGCAATCATTCGCGGAGCTGGTTGACAGCAATGTTGGCAGTGCGTTGTCGGCAAGTTCGAGTCCCTCGAGACGCTTGCAGAAAATGCGGGTAGTTCTCTTGTCTTCCTCCACCCCAAGCTAATCGATCTTTCATTTTTCGATGGTCGAGGGGTGCGTGGTTTTCTTCTTTTGAACCAAAGATGGTGATGGACACTGGGTATGCTCTCCTGCACTCACAGGTCTGATCAAGAAGCGCTCCTTTTCTTCTTCTTTTTTTTCTTTTTTTTTTTTTTTTGAACATTTGATTCTTCCCGCACGCGCAACATCAGTCAAGGCGAGAATCAAAACAGTCTATGGCAACTTGACGGGGTTATTACAGCTACAATGTTTTTGACAAGTTAACTAAAATTGTAATTATTGTTGGAGAAAATTATGGGGGCATTTCTTGCCCCCTCTCCTCGTGATATCAGGGGCAAAATGATATCTCTTGGGGGCTCTTTGCCCTCGTATATTTCCGACGCTGAGTGTTCAATACATTTTATACATAGGTGTATGTCTTCTTTTTTAAATCAACCCACACTTATGTATTTTACTATTAAAAATACATTTTATTCACGATTCCTCGGTGAAGGATTGGCCGATTAGCGTGATAGACAATTGGAATTGTTAGAGCCTATAGAATTGAGCCGTTTCCAGGGGATTGACCGCACGGTTTAGATAACCAGGATCAACAGAGCAGTTTCATTGGAAGGGTCATGCTAGCGAACATTAGGCTGACACGTAACCTTTGAACCTTCCACCAAAGATCAAACTCTTCTAAAGAGCCACGGGAGTGCTCGTACAGTCTTGTATTACAGCGTTGTTTTCCAGCAAACAAACACATTTCATGGCAAATTGCTAATGCAAGGGACATAATCAACTAGGACTACAACTAATGATTATTTTGATAATCGATTTATTCCGTCATTTTATTTCTTCCACGAATCTGATAAGAAAACAGCATTAAAAAGCTTTAATTTCCAACCCTTTATTCTAAAATAGAACTGCAAATTCAAATTGCAAAAATACTTCAGAAAGGGCAGGTCGCTCCTAGAACGTAGTAATAATTTATAAAAAATAAAGGAAAAAAAACCAAACACGATTTGTTTTAACGTCAGACCTTGTTCTCTACACTACGCGCACACTCACAAAGTGTATAAATGTTATAAACAAATAACCAAGTTCTATGAGATTAATTTAAAATGGCATTTGTAAATAAAATTAAGAGGCTTCTTAAGCCTAGTTTATGCTTCTGCGTTTTCAGAGCGACGCAGACGCAAGACCCCCTTGCGTGCCTTTTCACACCTCCTTGCGTGATTCGAGCCATTTTTCTAGGCTTTTGCCGGTCGAGAGGTGAACAAAGTTGTGGAGGAAAATACGGGACAAATGTGTCCGCGATGAAAAGCAGCAGTGGCGATGCACGGGGCAATAAAGTCTATGATAAATAAATAGACGTGACTCTCTAGGTTGTCTTCAACAAAAACACGTTACTCCGCCTGTTGTTCTGGCGGTGAATTGCTCTGCAACACACGCAGAACCATGATTTGAAATGAGTGCGTCGACGCAACGACGCAGAAGCATGCGCCAGTCTTTAGTTAGCCACGCTGGTTTATTTGAGCACCGTGTCACAGGCACAACATCAACTACAGTATAATCTATGTATTTATGTTTTTTTATGTGTTTAGCCCAAAGTAGGATGAAGTTATTCCAAATAGCTAAGTCGTCCAATTCTCCTCATGAATTTGGTCATGGAGTGTTTTTGAGTTGTATTTGAAGCATGTAAAATGTGGGTCTGTATTCTTTTTATCCCCGGTTCTGTTTCATTTGACGTGGAACATCACACTATTCTTTCGTGATTAGTTTATGGTAAGACACGTTTTATTGCACATGTGTGGAAAGTAACTTTTGTCGTTCCATTCACCATGATAACACATCTTTTGTAGATACCCAGACGCTGTCCTAACAATCTTACCCCTTTAAACATCAAAGAGGACTTCATTTCAAACATCACTGACAACTTAAATGAGTTCATAGAAAAAGTTAAAAGATGTCATTTCATTTTAAATACAGAGCCCTTTTCTGAAAGTATTTCCGAAGTTCACGAGCTGAATGTCTTCCTACCAGGTCAGAAGAAGGTGCAAGCCCGAGCTGTGTTCTACCCTCTGACAGTGAAGGCAGACGCTGTCAACATGTGCTATAGGACATTATACATAGGATCAGGTAAGTCCTGCTGACTCACTCTGGCAACTGGCCTAAACTTGTTTAGTTTCATGCTTTTTTTTTTCATAATTTCAAATATAATTATTTTTTAGGCCAAAAAAAAATTTAAAGGTGCTTGTATTTTGTTTGGATCTTCCCAACCATAATGGCTTGTGACCCGTTTTTAACCCTGTGATGGACAACATGGTCAGAATGGACCCACATGAATGGTTTTAAAAATTCTATATTTTTGCCTGCATTGTGAATGTTATATGCCTGTTATATGTACCTTGTTTTGATAAAAACAAACTAGATGTTGATGTCCTGCCAGTGGCACACAGCTTTTTTATATTTATATTAACGAGCGAGACACAGGTCCACAGAGACACAACTATTCAATCCTGCATTCACACACCCAGGCTGAATTCAAATTGTGAAATTTGCTTAGGATGGTTCCTGACTGAGTAAAATGACCTGGTAGTAGAGTAATTGGCCGCCATCATAAGAGCTGTTTATGTTCTGCGCAAAGGAGCCTCAATCAGGCATGAAAATCCCTCACCTTTCGGCGAAATTCGCCGTTTTGTAACCAAAATAGGTGACCTACGTGAATCGTGTAGATTGGATGAGTTTTTTTCGGGGGGCGGGGGGGTATTCATATTCAGTGAACTGCGAACAGGTGCGCGTGTCAGAAGGGAGCGCGAGATTCGGTGAATTGCGAACAGGGTGAGTGATGGTTTTAATATTTTCTGGTATATCTAAGTTAAGTTACCCAGGAGCTTTGTTGACATAGACTTGGCTAACGTTAGCTACAGCTTGATGAATTGAGTCATTTAACACTGCAGGAGAGAACGCGACGTTGGCCAGCTAGTTAAAGCTCCGGTGGAAAATGATTAGCTAACGCTACCACTACCCCCCCCCCCGTCAACGAATGACTCGAAGAAAGATTTGTTCATTTTACTGAATGACATTCAGTCTTACCACCCCCCAATTCTTCCCTACTTAGCTCCTTTGCTAGATAACTTGGGGGGGGGGGGTAAACACATTCATCCATTGACGGCAAAAACGACACCGGCCAACTGAACAACTGTTCACCTCTGTTTATGGCTGTTATCACCGCGGTTTTCTTTTTCCTAAATACTGATGAATTCTCCTAACCATATTACATTACAGCTATTGAAAATGTTGAGCATTAGGTTTCAAAAGTCATCTACATCAGAGGGTTAAGGAAAGGAATTCCCGGTGTGACAACTTCTCATTGGATGTGTCCATTAATTGCCCCCTTTTGAGCTGAAGAGTGAGTCTTATTAGAGCAGCCTTTTTAAAGGCTCAAATAATTAAAACTGTCGTATTTTTGCATTAAGAAAATACAGAAGTAAAACTAATAATACAATTTGATGTATCATTTATGAACCATCAGAAAGCGCTTGTGACCTTGTGAGGAGTATCAATCCCCACGTTGGAAAACACTTTTTTAAAGATTTGGTTGGTTTTCCTCAAAGTAAGGTATTCAAAAAATATTCTATTTGTATCTGCACCAAAACTGTATTAAATTATATAGGACAATACCCACCACTGAATTATAGAATTCTAAAGACACAGCAGCAAAATAAATGTTAAGTGTAATTTTCTGACAATACTGAAACAATGTAATTGAACTATGTCTGAATTGAGCATTATTTGTATGTTTCCATATAACAAACTCTCCACTATTCTAATGTTTTTGTGAAGGTGCTGACATGGATGTGTGCCTTGCAAATTATGGTCGTTGCAACTACGTATCGGGGAAACACGCCTGTATTTTCTATGATGAGGTAGGGCTTGCGCTGCTTGAATGTATGTGTGTTTATATGTTCTAAAATCATATAAAATATATTTCAGTTATTCAATGCAAAAGGTATGTGTGTGTGTAAATTATATATATATATATATATATATATTATATATATATATATAATCTTTTTTATTATAATTATTTCTGATAATAATGGCTTACAGCTAATGAAAACACAAGTCAGTTTTAGCACTGGTATCAGGAAACCCCGAAACGATAATCATCCCTAGTAGATAATTGTAAACATTAAAAAAAAACTTTCTTGGGGCCTAATTGGAGCAACACTGTATGCCTTGGAATTCTCATTGTCAGTTTAAAGCCTAGTTTATGCTTCTGCGTTTTCAGAGAGGCGCTTGCGTGCCTTTTCACACCTCTTTGCGTGCGTCGAACCCTTTTTCTAGGCTTGCGTCGAAAGCAACGCAAGGCTGCGATTGGTCTGCTAACTACATCCTTTCCGAAGTCTCACATTTCCGCTTTCATAGCACAATATTAATTTATTCAAACATCGACAAATATAGTAGATACAGGCAGCATTTGGGAGACAAAAAACCACGAATTTCTGTTTATTATTATTATTATTATTAAAACCAAGAATGTTTACGAGAGAATGGATCAGATTGAAGAGCTTTTGTCGGAAGGATTGCGTAAATATGACCACTTCTACAAGCCGTCATTGGCCACTATTCTAATGATGGCTGATCTGATGCCTCCGGATTCATGGAGGGAGATCTCCGCAAACGTCGATTTGCCTATGATAAATGAAACTATAAACGACTTCCACACACAAAGACGTGACTCTAGGTCGTCTTCGACAAAAAACGTTACCCCACCTATTGTTCTGGCGGTGAATTGCCCTGCAACACACGCAAGCCTTTTTGAACCAGGAATTTAAACAAGTGCGTCGACACAACTGTGCATAGAGAGGCAGAAGCATGCGCCAGCCTTTAAGTACTACATTTTTCTCACTTTTTCATGTGTACACAGAGATTTAACAAATTCTTTGGTCGTGGAAATTTAGTTTGAAGTCATGGAAAAGTCATGGAAATCCATCGGTCAAAATGTTTATTTAATTATATTTACAGTATACTTAAAAATACATTTGTTTAATGTCGCCGATCGTCGTTCTGTGCTTCTTTTTTTTCTTAAACGTATCTGTTCCCCTGAACAGTAGTATTGGGGGAAAACATAAATATGTGTAGCCTTGTGAGGATTGTGAAGCAAAGCCCATTCAAGACTTTGAGGGAAATTTTCAAGAAGTGGTGCTTCAGTCAGGGCTACAAGAGGCACCACACACAGATGGATCCAGGACATGGTATATAACGGTCGCATTCCTTATGTTGAATCACTCTTGATCAGAGATATCGTCAGAAGCGTCTTACCTGTGCAAAGGAGAAAAAGGACTGCAAGTACATTTTGCATTTCATTTTGTAATCAAGGTCCCAGAGTCTGGAGAAAGGGGGAAGGCACACTATCCAAGGTGCTTGAGGTCCAAGTTTCCTTAGTCAGTGATGATTTGGGGGGGGCACCCCCCTAATATAATGGGTGGGGAAACGCTGATGATTCATTTTGTGTGTGTTTCTCCTTTTCTAGAATACCAAGCATTATGAGTTGCTAAACTACAGCGAGCATGGCACCACAGTTGACAACGTCCTCTACTCGTGTGACTTCTCTGAGAAGGCCTCTCCATCTCCACCAAGTGGCCTGGTGGCCAAAGTCCAGGGCGTCATACGTTAGTACCTTTCATTCTCTCATTATAGTGTGTGTAGTTTGCAGGGTTGTCAGTGAGACTGTCACAATTATTTTTGCTACAGAGTCCGGAATAGATTTAAACAGTGCTCCCTTTCCTTTCCAAAAATCACAGCTGACATCTTCCACAGTGCCTTCTGTCAGAGGCAGGATGAGTATGGTGTTGTAAATGTAAACACACACACCCATCGAAGAGGTACAATTAATGATACAGAAGAAGTGAACCATTAAAAGTACACGGTACTTTTGCTAATGGAAACCAAAAAGATGGATTTAGGGGAGCCATGTCCATGTTGATGAAATGCTCAATAATTATATATTAGTATGACATCTTTTTAGTCTTGTTTTCATTGTCAAATTAGGTGAAATCCCTTTTCTCTTTGAATGTTTAGTGCTTATAGTGCCTGCATTGCTCAACTTGCTAAGAACCTTGTTTTTTTTAAGCTCTTAACACTTGATGTCATCATCATCATGTCATCATCACTGACAGGAGCGACCATACACAGTGCTGACTGTCCATCAGGAACTAACATTCCCACACTGTAGTCCCAGCTTTTTTGAGCAATGTCTTGCCCAAGGCCACACCAAAATGCAGGGAGAGATAAACTACTATACAAAGATTGACATATCATTTTGTTTTTTTATTGTGATTTGCTGCTCATTGACAGTGATATTGTTTTGCATTGTAAAATGACGCAATAATAAGCAAGTTGTCCATGTTTTCTCGATTCAGGTCGCACAAAGAAGCGCGAGGAGGACAGGGGTCAAAGGTCTTTTGCGGGTCCGCTGCCGGTGGGCGGAGTGATGAACAGCCAGCATCAGGGCCGCGGCGAGCTGTCATGCAGCTGCAAGACGAGCAGCTCCAGCTTGATTGGTGGTAGCGGGGCGGGTTGGGAGGGTACGGCCCTGCTCCATCATGGCAGCTACATCAAACTGGGTTGCCTCCAGTTTGTCTTTAGCATCACAGAGTTCGCCAGTAAGCAGCCCAAAGAGGAGCAGACCACTGTACTCGCCGTCAGCACCACCACCACCACCACCACCAGCAGTAGCAGCAGCGTGGCCAGTAACACCACCAGCACCACCCCCCCACCCAACACTGCCACAGCGAGCAGCCCCTCCAGCCAGGATGAGACCGACTTTGAGACTGTCCCTTCCCACCAAGTGCCCGTACTGCGCTCTGACTCTATTCCATAACCTACACAGGAAAATAAACTCCCTCAGTTTGTCTTGTTGCACCTTCCTAGTCACAATGAAGGGAACGTTGCACAGCCGGTTGGAAAAACTTTCATTTTTAATAGTTTATATCTTTGCATGAACTTGAAGTATTATTGACAATCTTCTTTTGTGACTGACCAGTCCCCTTCTGTTCACAGAACATCAGGACTTTGAGAGAACATTATTTACCGATGCTCGACTTTTCTTTGGCCATTATAATGGTCATGTATGGTGTTACATTATTTTGGCAGTCAGCCCATTTAGCACAAACCTTTTATTTTGTAGTAATGAATTCCATACATTCTACTTTCTTTTGCTGCTTTTGCACCATAGGTAGCTATATATGTATGAAATCATACATGCTTACATGTATGTGTGTGTATATATATATATATATATATATATGTATATATATATAATTCATTGCTTCTCAATTGGAGAACTGATGGATTTCATCTAGATTTACCATTGTTTGGTTTTTAACTGTACAGTTCATGGAATTTGTGATACTGTGTTGAGTACCAGAAGTTTTGTGATGAAGCTTGTTCTTAGTCTGTACTTTTCGCTGTAGTCAATCTGTAAATACCGTATTTTAGCACTCATTTTAACATCTTGTGGTGCTCTGTATATAAGCACTCTTTGTCTGTACCTCCTTGCCTGTTCAAACATGTAAATACAGAAAGATTTTCTAAGAACAAACCCAAACAATTTGTCTCCTCTGTCATTTCCTGGCTTTAGACACTGGTAAAGGTTATAACTTTAAGTTATATGTTTTTATGCTTTCTTCACTATTAAGGCGTTTGCAGGCTGAGAAAAGGCTTAAAAATGCACAGAACACAAGAATGCATTAGTTCAGTGTTCTCCTCAAACTAGCACCTCAGGAAAGTACATTTATCTGTTTTATGATGGTATCATGGTTTGTGAATAGTTTTCCAACTGTTTTTGTTCAAACTAAGTTTTTGTGCATTCTTGACTATTAAGGCGTTTGCAGGCCGAGAGAAAGCTGAAAACGCACAGAACACAAGAATGCATTGGTTAACAGTGTTTACCTAAAACTAGCACCTCAGGAAAGTACATTTATCTGTTTTATGATGGTATCATGGTTTGTGAATAGTTTTCCAGCTTTTTTTACTCAAACTAAGTTTTTGTGCATTCTTGACTATTAAGGCGTTTGCAGGCCGAGAGAAAGCTGAAAACGCACAGAACACAAGAATGCATTGGTTAACAGTGTTTACCTAAAACTAGCACCTCAGGAAAGTACATTTATCTGTTTTATGATGGTATCATGGTTTGTGAATAGTTTTCCAACCTTTTTTGTTCAAACTAAGTTTTGGTGCATTCATGACTATTAAGGCGTAAACAGGCCGAGAGAAAGCTGAAAACGCACAGAACACAAGAATAAAAAACTTTTTTTAACTTCCAAGTCAGAAAAGAATGCCAAAAATATTTGGCAAAATGTCATGAAAATCTATCTTTAGTCATCTGAAGGGGGAGGACGGTGATAAAACGTACTTTTGAATGAAAATCTGAATTTTTTCTAAATTGGAGTCATAAGAAATTCTAACGGCAGCTGTTGACACGGTACAGTGGTGTAGTGGTTAGCACTCTCGCCTCCCAGACAGATGCCTCGGGTTCAACTCCACCCAGTCGCGCCACTGTGTTAGGTGGTGTAGGCCAAGCCTGCATGGGGTTCACTCGTTACTTGTAAGAGTAATGAAAGTATCTTGTTTTACTTTTACAAGTCTGAAAAGAATGCCAAAATATTTGGCAAAATGTCATGAAAATCTATCTTTAGTCATCTGAAGGGGGACGACGGTGAGAAAACGTACTTTTGAATAAAAATCTGAATTTTTTCTAAATCGGAGTCATAAGACATTCTAACGGCAGCAGTTGACACGGTACAGTGGTGTAGTGGTTATCACTCTAGCCTCCCAGACAGATGTCTCGGGTTCAACTCCACCCAGTGGCGCCACTGTGTTAGGTGGTGTAGGCTAAGCCTGCATGGGGCTCACTCCATACTTGTAAAAGTAATGGAATTTTTTTTTTAAAACTTCCCAGTCTGAAAAGAATGCCCAAATATTTGGCAAAATGTCCAGGAAATCTTTCCTTAGGTCTATGAAGGTGCAACAAAGTGAGAAAACCTACCTTTGAACAAAAATCCGAATTTTTTTCAAATTGGAGTCATGAGAAATTCTAACGGCAGCTGTTGACACGGTACAGTGCTCTAGTGGGTAGCACTCTCGCCTCCCAGACAGATGGCTCGGGGTCAACTCCACCCCGTGGCGCCCCTGTGGTAAGTTGTGTAGGCCAAGCCTGCATGGGGGTCAATCCTTACTTTGGAAAAGTAATAGAAAATATTTTCTTTTAAATCTACAAGACTGAAAAAAATGCCAAAATATTTTGCAAAATGTCATGAAAATCTATCTTTAGTCATCTGAAGGTGGACGACGGTGAGAAAACGTACTTTTGAATCAAAATATGAATTCTTTCTAAATCGGAGTCATAAGACATTCTAATGGCAGCAGTTGACACGGTACAGTGGTGTAGTGGTTAGCACTCTCGCCTCCCAGACAGATGCCTCTGGTTCAACTCCACCCAGTGGCGCCACTGTGTTAGGTGGTGTAGGCTAAGCCTGCATGGGGTTCACTCGTTACTTGTAAAAGTAATGGAAAGAACTTTTTTTAAACTTCTATGTCTGAAAAATCCCAAAATATTTGGCAAAATGTCATGAAATTCTATCTTTAGTCATCTGAAGGGGGACGACGGGGAGAAAACGTACTTTTGAAAAAAAATCTGAATTTTTTCTCAATCGGAGTCATAATACATTCTAATGGCATCAGTTGACACGGTACAGTGGTGTAGTGGTTAGCACTCTAGCCTCCCAGACAGATGTCTCGGGTTCAACTCCACCCAGTGGCGCCACTGTGGTAGGTGGTGTAGGCTAAGCCTGCATGCGGTTCACTCGATATTTGTAAAGTTATGTAAAACTCTTTTTTATATTTTCGAGTCTGAAAAGAATGCCACATAATTTGCAAAGGTCATGAAAATCTATCTTTAGTCATCTGAAGGTGGACGACGGTGAGAAAACGTACTTTTGAATCAAAATATGAATTCTTTCTAAATCGGAGTCATACGCATTCTCATCGCAGCCGTTCACACTGCACCGTGGTGTAGTGGCTCGCACTCTCGCGTCTCAGAGAGATGTCTTCAGAGTCTACTCCACCCTCTGGCGCCACTGTGTTAGGTGGTGTAGGCTTAGCCTGCATGGCGTTCTCTCCTCACTTGTAAAAGTAATGGGAAATACTTTTTTTAAACCTCCAAGTCTGAAAAGAAACCCCAAAATATTTGGCAAAATGTCATGAAATTCTATCTTTAGTCATATGAAGGGGGACGACGGTGAGAAAACGTACTTTTGAATAAAAATCTGAATTTTTTCTAAATCGGAGTCATAAGACATTCTAATGGCAGCAGTTGACACGGTACAGTGGTGTAGTGGTTAGCACTCTCGCCTCCCAGACAGATGCCTCTGGTTCAACTCCACCCAGTGGCGCCACTGTGTTAGGTGGTGTAGGCTAAGCCTGCATGCGGTTCACTCGTTACTTGTAAAAGTAATGGAATTTTTTTTTTTTAAACTTCCAAGTCTGAAAAGAATGCCAAAATATCTGGCAAAATGTCATGAAATTCTATCTTTAGTCATATGAAGGGGGACGACGGTGAGAAAACATACTTTTGAATAAAAATCTGAATTTTTTCTAAATCGGAGTCATAATACATTCTAATGGCAGCAGTTGACACGGTACAGTGGTGTAGTGGTTAGCACTCTCGCCTCCCAGACAGATGCCTCGGGTTCAACTCCACCCAGTGGCGCCACTGTGTTAGGTGGTGTAGGCTAAGCCTGCATGGGCCTCACTCCATACTTGTAAAAGTAATGGAATTTTTTTTTTTTAAACTTCCAAGTCTGAAAAGAATGCCAAAATATTTGGCAAAATGTCATGAAATTCTATCTTTAGTCATATGAAGGGGGACGACGGTGAGAAAACGTACTTTTGAAAAAAAATCTGAATTTTTTCTAAATCGGAGTCATAATACATTCTAATGGCAGCAGTTGACACGGTACAGTGGTGTAGTGGTTAGCACTCTCGCCTCCCAGACAGATGCCTCGGTTTCAACTACACCCAGTGGTGCCTCTGTGTTAGGTGGTGTAGGCTAAGCCCTCATGGGATTCACTCCATACTTCTAAAAGTAATGGAAACAAGCTTTTTAAAACTTCCGCATCTGAAAAGAATCCCAAAATATTTTGCAAGAAGTCATGAAATTCTATTTTTAGTCATATGATGGGGGACACCGGTGAGAAAACGTACTTTTGAATAAAAATCTGAATTTTTTCCGAATTGGAGTCAGATGACATTCTAATGGCAGCAGTTGACACGGTACAGTGCACTCTCGCCTCCCAGACAGATGCCTCGGTTTCAACTACACCCAGTGGTGCCTCTGTGTTAGGTGGTGTAGGCTAAGCCCTCATGGGATTCACTCCATACTTCTAAAAGTAATGGAAACAAGCTTTTTAAAACTTCCGCATCTGAAAAGAATCCCAAAATATTTTGCAAGAAGTCATGAAATTCTATTTTTAGTCATATGATGGGGGACACCGGTGAGAAAACGTACTTTTGAATAAAAATCTGAATTTTTTCCGAATTGGAGTCAGATGACATTCTAATGGCAGCAGTTGACACGGTACAGTGGTGTAGTGGTTAGCACTCTCGCCTCCCAGACAGATGCCTCGGGTTCAACTCCACCCAGCGGCACCATGGTGTTAGGTGGTGTAGGCTAAGCCCTCATGGGATTCACTCCATACTTCTAAAAGTAATGGAAACAAGCTTTTTAAAACTTCCGCATCTGAAAAGAATCCCAAAATATTTTGCAAGAAGTCATGAAATTCTATTTTTAGTCATATGATGGGGGACACCGGTGAGAAAACGTACTTTTGAATAAAAATCTGAATTTTTTCCGAATTGGAGTCAGATGACATTCTAATGGCAGCAGTTGACACGGTACAGTGGTGTAGTGGTTAGCACTCTCGCCTCCCAGACAGATGCCTCGGGTTCAACTCCACCCAGCGGCACCATGGTGTTAGGTGGTGTAGCCTAAGCCTGCATGGGGTTCACTCCATACTTCTAAAAGTAATCGAAAAAAGTTTTTTAAAACTTCCGCATCTGAAAAGAATCCCAAAATATTTTGCAAAAAGTCATGAAATTCTATTTTTAGTCATATGATGGGGGACACCGGTGAGAAAACGTACTTTTGAATAAAAATCTGAATTTTTTCCGAATTGGAGTCAGATGACATTCTAATGGCAGCAGTTGACACGGTACAGTGGTGTAGTGGTTAGCACTCTCGCCTCCCAGACAGATGCCTCGGGTTCAACTCCACCCAGTGGTGCCTCTGTGTTAGGTGGTGTAGGCTAAGCCTGCATGGGATTCACTCAATACTTTTAAAACTAATGGAAAAAAGTTTTTAAAACTTCCGCATCTGAAAAGAATCCCCAAATATTTTGCAAAAAGTCATGAAATTCTATCTTTAGTCATATGAAGGGGGACGCCGGTGAGAAAACGTACTTTTGAATAAAAATCTGAATTTTTTCTAAATTGGAGTCATAAGACATTCTAAAGGAGGCAGTTGACACGGTACAGTGGTGTAGTGGTTAG